TGTGTCGGTTTTCTCAGTTTGGAAAGCTACCTGAACAAAGTGGCACGGAGAATAGAGTCTATGGTGCCAGGAGGCAAGTGTGTGCCTACAAACCGTATTACACACATGCACAAAACACGAACACACTTACCCTAGTGAATCCTATTAAGGTCTCCTGTTAGAACACTATGTTAAGATTTACCAGATTTTCCCATCTTAATTTATATAAAGTCATACTGCCTATATGAATGTTTTAATACTTCTTTAGTGATGTCATACACGCGCCTGTTAATGACAATGTAAAAAGTACATTTTGTGTACACATCACACTAATCTATACAATTTTTTTTAAAGCAGCATAAAAGCACCTCTTATTTAAAAACATGTTATTTATATAAGCAGTCATCTGTGCCTACCTCTACCCATAAATAAGAAAACTAATACATTTTGGTTAATACTTATTCATCCCTTTCACCTTTTTGCTAAGAGTTCTAGTACCATGAAAAAGACTTGAGCCAAGCCACATTGTTTTAGATTTTGCTCAGTATTTCTCCAGCCTTTCTGAAGTTCTTTTAAAGCTTTTCTTTGAACATTAGCAGTTTTTTTTACTCATATACATATATGTATATATATATGTTCGTTAAGCAACTTAAACCTGACTCATTCGAGATTACAAAAGGCACTTAAATCAAAGGATGAGCCAGTTTTATAACAGAAAATTAACCGTTACTATTTTTCAACAAACAGACGGTTGAAGCTCTGTTCAGCTTACCGCATCTTATATCAGTTGCACGGAAGTAGCTGACTACGTAAGTAATCTGGACGCTACAGCTTTAAGCAGCTGCGCGCGCTCCCGCGGACGGTAATCACGATCACTGTCTAGCACAACACCTGGAGCTAAGGGGGCAAAACAATCGCATGAGTGCTGCTGTTTGACTGAGGAAGAATAAAGTACGCGTGGTAAGCCAATCATATGACCACTTAAAGACAAAGCAACAAGGTGATATATACCAGTTTTTAAATTGTGTTCATAGGCCACGTAAAGCCAGAGTCATGATAAACAATATATACACGGCGTTTTTTCCTCAATAGTTTCGTCACGTAAGGACAGCGCTAGCAAGCTACCAGGTATCAGGCTGTGATGTTCTCCTTTATAGTGGACAGAAATTTGTTTTTTGGAGTGAAACAAATAATTTGTGTGGCATCTTATTGAATGCAGAACAGCTGATTGTTCTGTAAATAGTTTGAAATGGTTATTTAAAAAATCAAGGTAAAAGGTAAATGGATGCAAATAACTTTGTTGTTTGCAAAACTTGTGCATAGGATTTTAAAATTGACAATTTATATTTGCATTTAAAGTTATGAAATATGATTCATTAAACATATTTGTGGTTGTTACAGTAAAAAATATAACTTTTTCTCCTCTGATTTTATGTTTTTTGTCTGATTTTAGATCAATTGTGTTAATACAGTATGTCAAAATTAAAACGTGACTGTAAATTCAGACACGTGAGGTTGTGCTGAAAAGAATGATACCAAACAAGGAAAAGTAAATAGTTTTTAAAGGTAAAATGTGGAGGGAAAATCAAAAGTAGTTAATAATGGCCAATTATACCCTGGACCCCAGGGGGTTAAACGCTTTTTTTTTTTAAATAACACAATAGTTACTTTTCAAGTAATTAATTACTTTTAGAATATTGTAACTCAGTTACTAACTCAGTTACTTTTTGAAGAAGTAACTAGTAACTATAATTAATTACTTTTTCAAAGTAACTTGCCCAACACTGATGATAACACAGACTGACAGACATAAAACAGTATTTTTGAAACAAGATTTACAAAGAGATCTAAGCTGAAAATTTGGTGTTTTGTGGCTTTGTGTGCAGTGTGTCCTTAAGAAATTTGAGAAACCGGACAAGTGAAGAACAAAAGAAGATTCTGTGGTGCCAGGAGGTAAGTGCAGATGAAAAGGATCTGACAGTCATGTTCTTAAGAAATGGGATAAAATTCAACAAACCCACGACATACCTGCTGTACTTATGGATGTGAAGATCTTTATTCAAAGAGCATAGCTAAAACAGAGACGCTTGACTAGTTAGAAAGCAAAATGCTAGAGTGCCTGTTCCAGATTTAGAAATACACGCCACGTTTTTTTCATTTCTCAGTCTTAGATGAAGCCAGTCGGTCGTTTTCACAACTCTTTATACTAAAGTGAGCTAATCCCCCGTCATTCAACTCTTTGTACACAAAGATAAGGTGATAAGGTTAATAAGGTATAACGTGTGTTTTATAAAATTTTCTATTTTAGATGAAATGATGGGCATCCTAGTTTAAATTAAAAATTAGTTACAATTATATAAAAAATGTTACAAAATGATGCAAAAAATGTGTAATTCAGGGAATGTAGTGCAGACAAACATGCACATAATAATACACTGTCACATTCAAATACACACACACACACGCACTCCACACCTATGTTAAGTACTCTTATCTGTGACTTGTGTAGAGGTGAGTGACAGGAAGGGATGCAGGGGGGAAGTGTCCTTTAGGTGTCTTAATTATGGCTCCTCTCCTCCCTCTCGCTGTCACCATCCCCAGGGGAGGGCAAAACAAAAGGAAGGTAACGTTTCATCTCTACTGCCTTGGTATTTCAAATTCCAAGGGGAGTAAGAGGAGAGAGACAGCGGGCTGCTTCACTGGCGGAAGAAGAGGAAATCAAGTGATCCTTTGCCTTTCTCTCCATTTCTTGCCTGGTTCGCAGCTGTGTTTAAAATAAGGCACCTTAATAAAAGTGTTTTAATGGCATCAAGGCAGGAAAAAAGGTGCAACTTGATTACTGTGACAGTTTTATTTAATGAGCTCAAAGCCTCTGGCTCCGACTTGCGATTCGTTTATTACTTTGTTGTGGAGTGACAAAATGGAGCAGAGGGAGCGAGAGAACGAGGCTGAATGTTCTTATTGTGGAAGCCGTCCACGGCGTTAGCAGTAGTCTTTCTGATTTGCACCCTCCTCGGTGCTCACCTGTATTTTCATCCGTTCCCGCTGCGGGAATGCTACTCTGCATGACAGAACGAGCGGGAGGGGGGTGGGGTGTGAGAGACACCTCGACAGGTAGGCAGACACAAAGATAACACGCTGTTAATTATTGATGGAGGAAAAACTGCGCTCATTGGATGTCTCGCAGGGCAACACTTGGTGGATGTGAATACAAATGTGTGTGTGTGTCTGTATATGTGTGTGTGCAGAAGAATAAAAGAAAACAACCAAAACCCAAAAAACAATGCTGAGAGAAAACGGCATTAAGCAAAAGAAATGGTGAGGGGCTAGGCTGGAAGTGTTGGGTGAGGAGTCGATAGAGTGATGGTAGTGATACCTGGTAAAGACACATTAGCGAGATACGGAGGGAGTCTATAAAAGCAAACTACTACTTAATGTCCCTCACAAGTGTGATAAAAGCATAGAGCTGCAGCAGAGAACGCTGGTCTTACCATTTGTGTGAACAGAACAAGGGAGCGCTCAAAAAAATCAGCTATTATACACAAATGCTAATAGAAAATGATTTTGAGAATGTGTTTGCGGCAAGATTTCTATAAAGGTCAGCTCTTTTGTTTTGGGACACGAGGCCCCTCTCATGAAAATATTGACTGAGAGAAGGGGAGCAATGCAAAGAGTGGTCTTAAAATGTGATGGACAAAGAGCATGGTTTCTTATCAGTATTCCGAGAGCTTGCCCTCTTATAAATATTGGAAGAAGGACACTGGTGGGGAAAGGAAACGGGCAAATGGCGCATTTGAGAAATGGCACACCTGAGCACCACACGGAATATCATCTCCTCCTGTCAGATCTCATCCCATTTGATCAAAATAATTGCCACCTTCATCGTTACCATCAATTCTGTCATCTTCACCGGAGCCATTGCCGCTCCCCATCTCATCAGGTCTTCTTCGGTTTCGAGGGTAAGAGGGGGGGATTTTTGGATTGGATCAAATGCACGTTATCTCGTCTCAAGAAAAATCACTCAAGGTGCACCCTCATATAGTCATCAGCATATTTATTGTTTCAGTGCTACTGACATTTTCTTCACCTATTTAAGTATTCTGACATTAACAAATCTTTGACGGGTACAAGAATAGCCTGGTTAACTCAGGCAGGCTTGTCTGTCATAGATGTCCGGAGAGAGGGCCCTGCTGCGCCTTCTAATATGGTGACTCTCAGAGCAGTCAACAGGGAAATGAAGAAAATTAGAGAACAAAAATGGGGAAAGAACAGTATGATCACTGCCTGGGGGTTGCCAAACACCAAACAATATCTCTGAAATGCATTTCCCGGTAAAACGGCTCTTCTGTCAGACTGCCAAATGCCCAACAATAAATATGCAACCACAGTGTTAACATAAAATACAAGATTGTATAGGAAATCATACCCTGGCAGTGTGCAGTTTCCTCTAAGCTACACCTCTCCACATATGCCTATCAACCTGTCTCCATTGTACAACTCACTAGGGCCCTTTTTGTACTACTCAAACAGCTTGTCTCATCTGCTTCCACTTTAGCAGGCTAATAACACTCGACAACGTAGCACAAGCGACTAGTCAAACCTCAGTTAGAGAGGGGCCAGCTCACTAACTGGAAACCACAAGTGCCATGGAGCACTGTAATCCAGCACATATGCATACTGTCAAACCCAACACAAAAAGCCCACATAACCACAGGAAAGAAGTGATCCACAATTTCATGTATCTTGTACTAGACTCCAGCTTCAGCATTAGTAAGATAACAGAGACATACATGCACCAGTGTCACTTCCCAGGTTGTTGTCTAATGGCACTCAAATGCAGTTTGAGGCCCACATTTAGGAGTCTCTCTTTAAGATAACAAGTTTGCCACGAAGGACTTTTTAAGTTTGTTAAATGTGCAATACTAAACACCTGGCAGGAGCTGAATGAGCAAAAACGAAAAATTGCTAAAGATAATGCACGAGGAAGTGAGGACGCCAACTTGTTTTTAGACACTCCTTACCTTGGCCATTTGGGCCTGCACCCCAGTAGCTTTGAGAGATGACACAGCCTTCTGTGCTGCAGCTGGGCTGTCGAAGTCCACAAAGCCATATCCTGGAGACAGAAAGGAGGAGAAGGGGAGAAGGAGAGGAAGAAAAAAAAAAGACATTAGTTAAGACAAAAATTAAGGCAGATGACTAACAAGGAGAATGACAGGCACTTGGTAATTGTAGCAGTAATAGGTTGGTAACATGACTACAGAGGCTGCCAGTTCTCATATCTAGTGAGCACTACATTGTTTGATAATTAGCGACACTGACGTTCATAGGGGGATGCTATGCATCTTAATTAGTAGCATGGATGAGCGATTTAGTAATAACAAAACCCGGCACCCTGCCCACCTCCACCTCCGCACATACGTAGTCGGATACACTGCATGCATGCGCAAACGCGCAGATATACACACTCGAATAAGACAACCGGTATCGTAAGAATAAGGGGGCATCACTGTTTGTCAGTTTGTTGTTTAATGATAACCCGTATGCATTCATTTCATTAAGTAGGTTAATTAAAGTAATGGTTATTTATGAAAGGCTTGTGATTTAAAATCAATGATTAAAGGATATTACACACACTATACACTCACATACACGCGGAGATGTGTCAATTAATTCTTCAAAACGTCACGTTTCACTTGTTCAGCCTTTTGATTTCTGGAGGCTGTGAAGCTGGCTGGCCCACATCGTGTTCCTCAACACCCGGCATATTAACACAACCCCATTTCACAGCCTCCATAATCCTCTCCCCGGTAACAAATCTCTCAAAGGTTGACAGCATACCAAAGCTGCTGCCATTTCTCTTTCTCTTTCTTCAACTCCATCTCTCTTACATAGACATAAAGACACTATTTCTTACAATTTAGCTTTTCTGTTCATCTTCTTACGCTTTTCCTCTGTCCTTTTCTTTCCCTAACACACTTTCCGTCTCTCGCTCTCTCTCTCTCTCGCATATTTTTCTGACATTAACAGCCACAAGGCCCCATCTGGAAATTCATCAGCGGCGGAAAGCGGGGGGAATGAAATCTGTGGCTGTGATTTATGAGTTATTGTGATCTCGACGTTCTCCGGTATGTATCGGCGACGGGGGTCACGTCTGTGTTAATTAAAATTTGGTGGCGGATTAAAAGCAGTCAATGGTGCCCTCTGATCCACTGTTTCAGAAGGAAAGTGTAATTAGAAAAGGATAATGGCTGTGAGATGGTGGGGCTGCGGAGGGGTTTGGGGGTGGGGACTTGCCATTGCGGTTACCCCATCAACTTACCATCAATCATACAATCATACATGTTCTTTACTCCAATGCCTTATGTGTGCCCGTGTGCGGCTTTATGCGAGCATCTCACTTTCCCGATCATTTGAGGTGCGCATCTGCGGCGGTAGCGACGACTGGGGGTAAGGGGGTTGGGGTCACTTTCCTGTCGGGCGGCGGCGAATGAGTGTGGAGTAATGTGAAAATCATAACTAGCGGTGGAAGAGAAATCGAGCGCGAGGACTGATTAATGGCCAGCTGTTAGAGCGAGGCTGCGTTTAATTGTGGAAATATGAAGAGCCGGAATGAGAAGTCCAAAGGCGATATTAAGAGAAACCAGTCATTTTCTTAAAAATAAATGCAATCAAGGACTATTTTTCCAAGTAGCCGCAGTGCACTCACCCATTGTTATATTAGCAAACGTATAATTTTGAAATTTTGATCCGTATTTAAAGAGAGCCCGGCTGAGCTTTAAAAATATATTTAATTGAGGGTTTTGGCTTAAACAATTACAAAAAGACATAAAAAATAAAAATCTTTCCTTCCTGTCGTCAGTGATATTTACCCATGCAGATATTTGTATTGACCTGATTAAGAGACAACTATCTGACCTCCCAGTTCCACTGGATTCCAGGGATTATTTGCTGTTGTGAAACAGACATTAATGCGTATTTTCAGATACAGCAAACAAAATCAGTGTGCTTTCATATATCTCCACAGTGTACAATACAGGTCTATAAAACTTTACTATATATTATATAGGTATAAAAACACAATTTTCTCCAAATATCTTCTTCTTGGGTGCTGCACAAAAAGTAGACCCATAATCACAACAATCCAAACAGACTGCTGTGTATGCTTTGTGGATGTATTATTATGTATTACATTTCAGAATTGCAAACTGAATTTTCTTTAGACTCTTTCACTCCATACTGACAAACATCAAACAACGTAGGCTTCTTATTGCATGCACCTCGTGGAGACAACTTGAAAAGAATTCCCATCAAGTGAATTTCTGATGCTGAGTGACATCTGTGTCTCTCATGGAAGCAACTACACTGGTTATGAGAGTAAACTCATTATTTATTAAGAGTATTCCCTTGAACATATCACACCCGTGTTCCTCTGTAACTGTCTGAAAAGGCCTTTGAAATGCTTAAATGCTATTTTCATTACTGTGAGCGCCAAAAATAAAATTTCATTTGGCATCTCTGGTCATTTGGGTAAACACACCCTTTAAATGTTAGCAGATTTTACAAATTAACACTTTAAAAAAATGTATTACGAGCACATTTAGAGAACTACATATTATGTCATCGAGGTCCTCGGGGTGATGGCTTATTCTCTTTAACAATCAGAAACCAGAATATTTAAATCGTGGATACTTTGAACCCCCAATTACAAATTTAATATTTAGCAGACTACCACCTGGAGTGCACTTATCAAACTTGGATGAGGATTTTAGAGATTGCTGACCTACATTCAAATCTCTCTAAACCGAGAGAGAAGCGGGAGAAAGGTGGAGGCAAGTGAAAAGGTGTGTAGAGAAGAAAGGCAGACTGAGGAAGGGGGTGATTTCAGGTCAGTCAAATACACTCAAAAAGCCTGAATTGACACTCAGTAAAAGATCCAGTTTGCTCTTCCAATGTGAAGTTACTGCAGCTGATATCCGCATAATGATTCTGAAATGTGGAATGTTTGAACTGTAGCCACAGGGTAAAAAGAGTTAAAGGCTTGTTTTGTTGAAAAGGAAAATAATAATTGAGAGATACAGAGACATTTTAAGACTATTTGTGCTTTTATCGGGCTGAATGGTTATAGAGGTTATAGAAAGCCTGAGCCTTTCAGTTTTTGTATAGATATATGAGCTCTTTTGTTGGAGTTTTAAAAGTCTAGAGTTAAGTAATAAGTCATAAAGAAACATTTTATACATTATGTTTCTACTATGAATTTAGATTCATGATTTATCTGTTACTACATATACTTTCTTATATACTTGTGTAAGGAAATATTAAATTAATTCCTCATTAGATATAATATATTTTGAACTGAAAAGAACATATAATTGTTTGGGATATAAACATATAATTCAGTGCCTCATACTGTACCTTATTAGGCTAAATGGAAGTAGCATTGAAAATTAATGGTAGTATGTAGATTACTTTTTTGTTAAGCTAACACTGGTGATTAAAAACACGTCAGCAATCCATCTGTTATGTTTGGTTCCCTTCTCAGAACTGAATACTCGTTACCTAGTTTGCTAAGATTTGCAATAATCCCTGCAGGAAAAAAACAACAAGTTTTGGTAAGATACATAATTACCCCAAGTGATACGACTTCATCAAAAACAGTGTCATTTTATTTTAAAGTAATTATGATTATGCTGTGTGGATTATGCACAGTAACAGGTTATTGCTTTTCTTAAAGCCACACCGACACTGCAATTTGATTTGAGAAAAAAAGATGATACTGGTTCCAATATAGTGGAGTAAAGGGTAAATAAATCTAATCATATAGACAAATATAACACAACAATGCACATTAAATATAAGTATCAGCTTTATTTAATACCATTAGACATGAAAGCAGTTCTCTTCCTGTAATTTCAATAATATGATCCTCAAAGACTCGCTCTGTATGTACTTGTTTGTTTACTCATACAGTGTACTTGTACACTGTAAAGTATGCACACAATTACTCAATACACAGATCCTCGGTGAGTCACTGAACAGGAGAAAAACTCCATTAAGTTGTGAGAAAGCTGCAGGGTCAAGAAACAATGTGGCGCTCAATTTAAGACATCACATTCCACACACTTAGAGAACACAAACACACACCCACCTACACACAGATGCACGCAGATGTTGCTTGAAGAATGAGTTTCCGAAGCCAAGTACATGCTGTACTGGTGCTGCATTCGACGCGGGTACTCTAGAGTTACAATCTCAAGTGGGATGCAGAGGGCAAGGTGCTGCTTTGATGCTTCTGCACAAACGCAAACCTCCAATCGATAGCTGTCACTTAAAAGCAGCTCAAAGTGACTGACGACATGTGAGGTTGTTGATAATGCTGTGCAGCTGCACGCTAATATGCAGATTGACGCAAAGTACTGCTGAAGGACACATATATCCACACTTGCACACTCGGAGTATGGCACCCTCCTCCCCACACACGTGCGCGCGCACACACACACACACACACAGTCTCTCTGAGAACATGAGCTGCCATATCATATTTCCTGGTCTGGCTCTAAGTGGGAGCCTGTCAAGATAAAAGGACCATCCTCAATCAGTTACTACATGATAGACGCTAGCACTGCTCAGTGACTACTTTTGTATGAATGTGTGTGTGACGCAGGGCGCTCCTTAATACAGTCCCCTTAAGGAGGTGTAGAACTACAGTAGATGCCACCTTGGGCTACGCTCTGCATAAAAGCCTACATTGGAGAGTGGAGATAAGGGACTCATTACAGTGCTTGCATCGACATATCAATCAAGTATGCATCATTCATGCATTCACTGTCATATTATGCTAATCCTAATTACTTTGGGGAAAATTACTATTCTTTATCTGCTAATAGTCAGGATTGTTTAGGGTTTTCTACCTACAATATCCACCACAATTTTCCCCAATATATCCATTTTTCACATTCTCATATTCAGTGCTAATGATCCCATTTTGCACAGCGCACAATGGAATAATAATGCCCTAAGTATGAATAATGAATCGGCGACAAGTCACGGGGCATTACAATGGTGTGCAGGGGGAAACGGCGTAATTGTTTACGTCGCTGTGAGTCATCAAGAAGA